TGCTTCCGTCCCAGTCCTATCTGCCACCTTCCCAGCCGTCCTGCTGAGTTATGGTCTCAGGCACAGCTCAAGGCCTGGTCACCAGGGCCATGGCCCTCATGCCTTCCGGCCTGGCTCACACCTCATGCATGCGGCCCCAAACTGTGCCTCATGCCCCTCAGCTGGGCCATGACTCTGCGGCCGTTTCTGCATCCTGCCCCAGGACGTGTTGGTTGGGAGACCTCATATCCCAAGTTCAACTCCATGAGGAGTGGCCCCACTGGTGAGAATTTCACAGGTTGGTACCCAAAAGCTGTAGTGCTCTAAATCCAGGTCCTGAGAGTAGAGTTCCTTTCGTGTAATTGGTTCAGCCTCTCCCCACAGGATCTGTAAGTCACGTGTCCACGGGCTCCCTCCCCTGAATCACCCATGGGCGTGGAGCTGGTTGTGTGAGTTGTCACAAAGTCTACAATTAGAGCTCCCGTCCCCATCCCTCAGTTTCTCCTTCCTGCTGGTGAGGACGCGCTGGGGCACGGAGGGACAGCAGACAACAGCTGGGGCAGCGGGGGAGGGCTCAGGGACACAGTCCCATTTCTGGCCCGTGCCCCATGCAGCGCACTACGAATTCATCCTCTTATGAGCAGCTGATCAGTAGAATATTTCTTTTGCAGAGCATTTGTGTTTATTTGTTCTAAATAGACATTTTAAAAATATTTTAAATATACATGCTTCAATTTCTTGCCAAACAACCCCGTTTGGTGTTTCTTCACTTTGTAATATAACATGAATCTAAAAATTGGCTTCTCTTAACCTCTAATAGGCCCCAGTTTCTGTATATTTAGTTCATAACCAGCAAATTTACTGACCTTGCTTTTGTGTCTCACAGTACTTTGGCTGATTCTCGTGGCCTTTCCAGGTCTATGGCGGCGGAGAGCATCTACAAATGATGGGTTTGTCCCCACAAACGATCTAGGCGGGGACTGTGTCCTCCTTAGCTCCCATGTGAGGACGCTCAGACACCCCCACAGCTGGCCCACCAGACCCTGCTGTCTGGCCCAGCTCCCTGGTAAACCTCATCCCCCTCCCGCCTCTCAGCTTGCCCCTTCCACAGACAAATCCCATGTGGCAGCCATGCTCTTGCTGGTTTTTCCCAAACACAGCTCTTTGGGATTCATCTGCACAAGCCATTGGAATAGAAGTGAAATGGCAAGCTCGGGAAGCATGGCCCAAAGGAAAGTGTGTACGGCATGGAGGTTGAATGACTGTCGCGGTCTTTGGGCCGGGGCCCAGGAGAGTGACGTGTGCCACGGGCTGTGCCCTTTTCTGCCTGCAAGTGAGTCAGTACTTTCTATCCCCTTTGCAGAGATGGGCTACACAATGGTGTCGGACTCCTTGGACCGCACGTTCCTACTGCTGCCAGGTCACTGCCTGGGAAAGGCCCTCTTCAACTTATACTACAGCTACAGAATGCAGAAGTTGTGCAAAACCAGGAACCTGGACTACTGGGAGTGTAGTCAAATTTGTGAGTACTGCACATGGAAATTTTCCCTTTGACAGGATACAACTCAGTGGGTTTGGGTATGTTCACAAGGTTGTACGAGCATCACCACGATCCAATTCCAGAACATTTCCATCACCCCAAAAAGAAGCATGGTCCATTCACAGTCTTTCCCCCGTTGCCTCTCCCCCAGCCCCTGGCAACCACTAAGCCTGCTCTCTCCATCTGTGGACTTGCCTGTTCTGGTCCTTCGTGTCCGCCTTCTCTCGTTCAGCATCGTGTTTTCATGGATCATCCACGTTGGAGCGGGTGTCATGGCTGAATCATATTCCATCGTCTGGATGGACCACAATTTGTTCATCGGGTAATGGTCGTGCAGGATGTTCCCACCTGTTGGTAGTTATGAATAATGCCGCTGTGAGATTCATGTACAAGTTCTTGTGTGAACGTATTTTCAGTTCTCTCAACTACATACCTAGCAATGAATTTGTGTTTAGCTTTTCGAGGAACCACCAGACTGTTTTCCACAGAGGCTACACCATTTTACATTTTGCCTGTGATGTATGAGGGTTCCAATTTGTCCACATTCTCTCCAACACCTTTAAAAAAATTTTTTTTTGAGAGAAAGAGATAGAGCAAGCAGGGGGAGGGTCAGAGGGAGAGAACCTCAAGCAGACGCCCCGCTGAGCGTGGAGCCCAACACGGGGCTCCATCCCACGATCCCGAGATCACGACCTAAGCCAAAACCCAAAGTCGGATGCTCAACCGCCTGAGCTACCCAGGCGCCCCTAGATTATTCATTTTTTTAAGTTGTGGTAAAATGTATATGAAGTTTACCATTTTAACCATTTTTGAGTATACTAATCAGTCGCATTAAGCACAATCACACTGTTGAACCACCATCTCCAGAACCATTTTCATCTTGCAAAACCAAAACGGTCCCCGTGAGAGCCCAACTCCCCATCCCCCAGCACCACCACCTCCCATGCCGTGTCTGTGAATTCTGCTCCTCTAGGGACCTCACACGAAACCGCCTAAGTCCTTTCTTGTTTCCTTTTGTGGACATTCTGGAGCTACTTTCTTTGTGGTTACCATAGGGATTACATTAACACCCTGAAGTTACCACATTCTAATTGGAATTTATATCAGCCTGACTTCGGTAATATAGAAACTGCTCCCAGGTGGGTCCCCACTCCCCTTCAATGATCGCATATTGTGTATCCAGAAACATAGACCAATAATTGCTTTTCTGCATTAGTTTCTTCAGTCATGGAGAAAACCACAAGTGGAGTTGCAAACCCACCTTTTAACAATACTAGTTTTTATAATCGTCCATGAATTTACCTTTGCCAGAGACCTTTATTATTCTGATCTGTATGTCCCGGGACAGTCCGTTATAGATTAAATGAAACTGGCGAATTAGAAAAAATGCGCAGTGTCATTCCGTTTATATCATAAAAGCTCGTGTCTAGAAAGGGTAGAAAGGTTACACACAAACACTAACAATAGCTTGGGGGAGTGGAGGGGTCCCTCTCACATGTCCCTTTTTCCTGATGAGTGTGTATTTATGGTATAATTTTCAAATACATGTATTTAAAGGGAAAATGTGAAAGCAGATGAGATTACAGAGAGGGGACTAGAGGCTCCCAGGTGTTTCGACAGGACTGGTCAGCTGAAGCTGCAGGTGACTGACAAATGATCAAAGAACCAAACATGTAAATATCTTTCAAACCACTGTCATAGGACAGGGTGAGGTCCTTGACCTCAACACATTAGTTGTACAACGTGGGTCGTAGCAAGAGAAACAAAATACTGTTCGTGTTTACCACCTGCTGGGACGTGGGAACAGCACTGATGACGCTCACGTGTGCTTTCAACCGCATTTGCTACAGGAGGAAAGACTGGGAAGCCAGCCGGAGTTTGGTAACACATTTCTTCCCTGTTAGCAGAGGGATACACCATCCAGGAGAGCGTCTACGCCTGGGAGTCTCTCGGGACGGGGAAGTATCTGACGGCCCTGGTCATCTCGGGGTTTGTGTACCTCATCCTGCTATTCCTCGTTGAAACCAATGTCTTGTGGGAGCTGAAAGCCAGGTTTTCTGACTTCAACAGGAAGCGACAAGTGGTGAGTGGGGTCAGCGTGTAACTCTGGAAGCCCGGGTCAATAGGCTGGCTCCACAGTCCATGGTCGGGAGTGGCCTTGACTGTCAGCATCTGAGGGAGCCTGGAGACCCTCTCATCCACTCCCAGGGCAGAGGGGTGACAGCCCATGCCGGGGGAGGGGGTGGGGGGGAGATCTGGAGGGACAGGGACGCAGAGGACTGGCCTGGCTCCTGTGACCCTGGTCAGCTGAGTAGGAACAAGACCCTGGATTTCCTAAGACCACTCACCTTTCTGGAACACCTCTCCCCACCCCCCCCAGCCAGGAGGAGCCCCGAAGGAGAAGGGTCTGTTCTGTCAGCTCTTCGGAAGATTCGTTTGTTTTGCCTTGATAGCCCCAGGCTTCAGGTCTTTTAATTTTCCTCAAAAGCCAATACCAAGTGACATTTCCAGGTCCGCGGGACCCTGGTTGCCCCTGAGAAAGGGGTGGTGGTGTATGCGTGAGCCCCGCGCGCCCTCGGCCTCCTCCCCCTGCCCTCGCACCAGCAGGGACTCCCACCTCCCACCCTTGCCTCTGGAAAGCAGGTGTCGATGCACGGCGTAGCGTCCGTGCCCGTAGACCAAGATGTGGTGCAGGACGCAAAGGTGGTGGAGACTAACTTGGAAAAGCTGCGTGAGGAGAACCCACTGGTTCTTAGAGAAGTGTCAAAGGTAAAGTGAGACGTGCCTGAAAAAGCAAAGACCACCTTCCAGTGTCCCTTTCATAAGGAAGCAGCCGCCAGGGGGCTCCCGGCGCTGCCTGCTGGCTCTCCAGGCCCCACTCGACTGGGTTGAGCTGCCGTGGAGACGCACAGGCAGGGAGCTTTCCTCTGTGAACGAATCACACCCAAGGCTGTTTGCCCTCAAAGTGCCTGAGGGCAGGAGTTAGGGCCTGAACCCTCTGGCGCCTCTCCGGGGGTCCCGTGTAAGGCAGGAGGGCCAGAGCCACGAACCCCAAGAGGCAGGAAGCCTCGGGGTTGGACACGACTGGCTGACCTCCAGGATCTAGAAGGCAATTTTCCAGGGAGTTCCTGGTTGGGGGTGGGGGGAGGCTCCGACAGCTCAAACCAAGCCTGGTTAGACGGCTGCAGAGCTCCAGCCAGAATTTTATGGAGAGACCCTTCAAACATCCAGGACCTCTATAACATTTTCCCCCAGTTTGTAAGTTCTTATTCTTTGTTTTCCTAGAGTCACTGGTGGTTTAAACAAACCAACCAACAGACAACTCAGGCAACATCAAGGGAGTTTGTTTGCTTGGAGAACTGAAGGGAAGAGGCTAATCCTGGAGAATGAGGCTCTCCGTTGCAGGGACAGAAGGAGGAGAGCAAACCCCCCTAACCCTGCTGGGAGGGAAAGGAAGCCTGGCCCCTCCTAGCCCCTGGGCCTGATGGCAGCCGGCACCTAACCCAGGATGGTGTGACAGATGCGGGGCGGCTCTGGGCTGCCGGCCCTCGGCCTCCTCACAGCGTGCCTTCTTTCTTGGGCATCTCAGGTCTATGCGGAGAAGGTGCCCCTGCTGGCTGTGAACAAGATCTCCTTCACTGTTCAAGCAGGGGAGTGCTTCGGCCTTCTTGGCATCAACGGAGCCGGGAAAACGTCCATCTTCAAAATGCTGACTGGGGAAGAGCCCATCACCTCTGGGGATGCCTTTGTCAGGGGCCTCAGCATCCGCTCTCACCTGAGGGAGGTAGGGTGTGACCCGGGATGAGGGGGCAGCACTTGGGAAGGGGTAGCTATTGGGAGGAGGGGATGCGGAAACGCATTTGCCGGTGTGACGCAGGCCTGGGGTGCGCTTGGTCTTTGGAAACCCCGCCTATCAGGTTTATACATGACTCCCAGCCCCACGGCCCTACCTTAGACCTCTTCTCTGAACTCCCCACCCATGATCTTTCGTGTCCAGTGCTCACAGCCCTGGACGTCCCTCCCACACCCTCCCAGGTCCTAGGTCCAGTCTCCTGGCCGTTCCCACTGTGCTCAGGCCGAGGTTCCTGGGGACACCCGGCTTGCCTTCCTTGCCCTCGGCAGGGCATCTCATAACACAGACCCACCTCCTGTGAGCTGCGGCCTTCCCCTCTCCTCCGGCTCTTCCCACCCTGACCCTTCTGTCCCAGACGCCCGCGGAGGGTGTTCTTCGCCTGCCCGCTAGGCCGTGGCGCTCATCAGGGCTGCAACACCAGCCTTCTGTCTCTCTCGCTCTACAGGGGCCGCTCCCGCCTGAGCTCAGTGGTTACTCTGTCCCCGTCTTCTGCTCGCTGAGGGCACCTGCACAGCCTCGTCTGCAGCCCGGCCGCAGTCCCGTGTGTGTGTGTGTTGCACGTGCGTGTGTCCTGTGTGTGTATGCGCGCGCACATGCCTCCTAGACAGCCTTGCTCAGACGTCTCCCTGTTGACACCCGAGCTTCTCACGAGCTCCTCAAACCCGACCCTTTTCACAGGGTCTCCACCTCAGCTACTGGCACCAATTCGATGAACGCCCAGTAGACGCCAACGCTTGTGCCGGCCCAGTGGCCCTTGACAGCACGGAGCTCTGACGCGGTGCAGGTGAGAGCGACAGGGCAGTGGTGTGGTGTCAGCACCTGGTGGAGCAAGTGAAAGGCTCAGGGAGAGACCAAACCACAGGGCATAATGGAGGGTATACTCTTCACAGCACAAGCCATCTAGTCGCCAAAAGTTTATCAAACCAGCTTCAGTGTCCATGACGGAGATCGCATTCAGAAAGAAAGCAGAAGAACCCACGCAAGCCTGTTCCAGAATCTTTAGCCCCTTCGTGTTTGGTGCCCACAGCTGGGGTGAACAGCCGTAGCCAACATAAGCCTCTCACGGCCGCGAGACACTTATGACTCATTTTAACTCTTTTACTATCGTACAAATTACGGGGGAGGCTTCTGGTAATGGCAAATTGTGTGACTCTGACCCCCTTCCTGGCAAGAACTATAACAACAGGACCAAATTTTAAAAACATCTCCAGAGAGCCTCCTGAGAAGATAGTGAAGACTTATGAGGCAGGAGGTAGGACAGGGAGAGGACCAGGGAGGCAACCATGTCCAGCCAGGGTGGCCGGGAGCCCAGGGTTGCTCCTCATGCTGAAGTGACAGGTGCTGAGGTGAGTGCCTCCTTTTTTAGAGTGAGGAATCCGAAGGGCTGCGCCCTGGGTGCAGGAATGAGCCACATGTAGACAAGCTCATCCAAGGACACAAAAGGACCAGGACTCATGTCAGTCCCTGAAACGGGGCTGACAAGACCCTAAGCCACCAATGCTCCCAGGCACCTGGTGGGAGCCAATGTCAACCTCTAGGGGAAAACGATACCGTCCTTGACTACAAACAATTTTGCAAATGCAATGCTTGGTACACAATAAAATTAACCAGATATATGTGCATAAAAGAAAAAGCCCTCCTTCAAAAGAAGTAAGAATGAAGCCTGGAGAGTCAAAAGGGCAGAAGTTATCCAAGAGAAGGTAAGAACATTGGGCAGACCTTCGAGATCGCCCTGAGGGGTCCCTGTCCTGGCACTCGCACCCCCTGAGCAGGCCCTCCTATGCTGGACCAGGGTTGGTCCGGGTGGCAGCAAAATTTGCAAGAGATGGTATGTCACGTCTGAGGCTGGGTTACAGAAGACACTACAGCTTCTGCGTGGGGTACACCCTTTCCCGCATATCCCTCACGGTGGGGGAAGCTAACTGCACATCCTGATGGTGCTCACACAGCCCGTGGAGGGGCCCACGTGGTGCGAAGCAGCGCGGGAGTCCTGAGACCTGCCCACAGCTACGTGAGCGAGCTCGGAAGCAGATCCTCCAGGCTTCCAGGGACGCAGGCTTGGCGGGGAGGCCAAGGGCCACCTCATGATGGAGCCTGCCCAGGACCGCCCAGCCAAGCTGTCCCCAGATCCATGAGCTGAGCCTCAGAAGCCATGAAATCATGAACAAACCACGGCTAAGTTTTGAAGTAACTCGTTATGTGACAATATATGACAAGCTGATACAAAGGATCCAGTGAAAAGGTTTCACAGACACACAACTGAGGTCCCGAAAGGAAAGGATGCAAATAGGACGCAAAGTGGAATTTGAAAAATTAATGTCTATGACTTGTCCAAAATTTATGAAAGACATCGAATTACAAATAAACAAATCCCTATCAGCCCTAAGCAGGAGAGATTACTAGAAATAAATCCCTAGGAACATTATAATAAAACTGCTGGAGGGCGCCTGGGTGGCTCAGTCGGTTAAGCGTCTGCCTTCGGCTCAGGTCATGGTCCCAGGGTCCTGGGATCGAGCCCGCATCGGGCTCCCTGCTCTGTGGGAAGCCTGCTTCTCCCTCTCCTCCCCACTTGTGCTCTCTCACTATCTCTGTCTCTCTCTCTCAAATAAATAAAATCTAAAAAAAAAAAAAACTGCTGGAAAATAAACACAGGAAGAAAATCTTGCAGGGACCCACTTTCAGAAGAGCAACAATCAGACTGGCAGGTGACATCTTAACAGAAATGACAGTGCCCAGAAGACAACAGGACGACATCCCAGAAATGACGGAGGCGCTAACAACCAGCCTACGATAATACACTCAGTAAAGTCACGCTGTAAAATGAAGGTATGAAAAGAAGATATTTTCAGGGCACCTGGGTGGCTCAGTCGGTTAACCGTCTGCCTTCGGCTCAGGTCATGATCCTGGAGTCCCAGGATCAAGTCCCACATCAGGCTCCCTGCTCAGTGGGGATTCTGCTTCTCCCTCTGACCCTCCCCCGTCTCATGCTCCCTCTCTCTCTCAAATAAATAAAATCTTAAAAAAAAAAAGAAGACATTTTCACATAAACACTGACAGAACTGATCACCAGCACACGTGTGCCAAAAAAATAAAAAATCACAGAGCCATCTTTAGGCAGAGGGAAAATGATCCCTGAAGGAAGTTCAAAGACACAGAAAAGATTGAAAAGTGATTTAAAAAAAAAAAAAGAGAAATGTATGAGTTTTGATTAAACGAAGCTATAAGAATAATAACGTCTTCTGAAGTTCAAAATACGTACACAGTGACGGTAGAGGACGGTGATGGCTGCAGGGGGGACAATAAGCCAGTACAGGGGACAGGAGGAAAACAAGAACAATCACATGACCAGGGACAAGCAGGCACACGCAGGGGGAGCCCAGAGCACACGGGACACGCAGCCCTGAAGAAGCTGGTGCTCGGAAATCCCGATACATCAGTGAGTTCATTCAGCAGAAACGGACTAAAGATCCCAGTGGAAAGACTGTCAGGGAGATACTCATCAGCTGAAACATCCAGTTAGCACACGGCCTGGCGAGTCTGCTCACCAGTGTGTGCCCAAGAGAAGTGAAAACCTACGTCCACACAGCAGCTTGTACAGGGACGTTCACAGCAACGGGATTCACAACTCCGGTGTCGGTCAGCGGATGAGTGGATACGCAAAACATGGTCTGTCCATACAATGGAGTACCATTCAGCCACATAAAGGAAGGAAGCACGGACGCCTGCTGCAACACTTGATGCTCAGTGACAGAAGCCACTTACGGAAGGCCATGTATCAGGGGCGCCTGGCTGGCTCAGTGGGAGGGGCATGTGCTCCTGATCTTGGGGTCGGGAATTCAAGCCCCATGTTGGGTGTAGACGTTACTTAAATAAGTTTCTTAAAAAGATTTTATTTATTTATTTGAGAGAGAGAGAAAAAGAGAGAGCGTGAACAGGGGGAGGGGCAGAGGGAGAGGGAGAAGCAGATTCCCCACTGAGCATGGAGCCTGATGTGGGACTCGATCCCACAACCCTGAGATGACGACCTGAGCCGAAACCAAGGGTCAGATGCTCAACTGAGTCACCCAGGCACCCCTTTTAAATTTTTAAAAAAATTTATTTAAGGTATGCCTGGGTGGCTCAGTTGATGAAGCGTCTGCCTTCGGCTCAGGTCATGATCTCAGGGTCCTGGGATCAAGCCCCACATCGGGCCCCCTGCTCAGCAGGGAGTCTGCTTGGGATTCTCTCCCTCTGCCCCACTTGCTCTTGCTCTCCTGCTCTCTCTCTCTAAAATAAATAAATCTTTAAAAACAAAATTTTTAAAAGGCCATATATTATATGATTTGCCTTATGTCAAATGTCAGACTGAGCAAATATACAGACAGTAAGTAGATTAGTGGTGTCAGGGGCTGAGGGTATTAGAAGCAATGGGGAGTGAGTGCTAATGGATATGGGGTTTCTTTGGGGGAGATGAAATGTTCTAAACCTGGTTGTGATGATAAATGCACCCCTCTGAATATGCTAAAAACCACGGAATTGTACACATTCAATGGGTGAATGTGGTGAACGGGTGAATTCCATGGTATGTGAATTGTGTGTCTCAATAAAGCTGCTATAAAAGGCAAGGAACAGGGGCACCTAAGTGGCTCAGTTAAGCATCCAACTCTTGGTTTTGGCTCCAGTCATGATCTCAACGTTGAGGGATCAAGCTCCACATCAGGCTGTGCACTCAGCACCAAGTCAGCTTGGGATTCTCTCCCTCCCCCAACTCGTGCACACATTCTCTCTTTTTCGATCTCAAATAAATAAAATTTTTTTTAAAAGGGGGGGTGAGAAACAAAGAAACAAATGAAGAAAGGAAGGGAGAGGAGAAGGGGCAGCAGCTGGTCCTCGGCAAATCCCAAGCCTGGTCTTTTTTTTTTTTTTTTTTTAAAGATTTTATTTATTTGACAGAGAGAGTCACAGTGAGAGAGGGAACACAAGCAGAGGCAGTGGGAGAGGGAGAAGCAGGCTCTCCGCTGAGCAGGGAGCCCGATGCGGAGCTCGATCCCAGGACCCTGGGATCATGACCTGAGCTGAAGGCAGACGCTTAACGACTGAGCCACCCAGGTGCCCCTCCAAGCCTGGTCTTACTGTCACCAGCCCTCCAGCCCACAGACCTTCCTGAAGCTCATGCAGAAGGAAGAACGAACGTGTTCCATAAACTCAGGTGACTAGAAATGTTACATCTCTTTGTGTTAATTAAAATCAAATGACATCTGCCAGGAAATCGGATTTCAGTCTCCACACAACCCTTCTGCACATCACCTCCTGGCACAGTGTGACCTCGCCGTTAGAAATGTGGGTTTTAAGTCTGGTTAAGCCTGCCTCTCCATCCCTCCACTTTCTCCTGGAAATCTTGCATGGATTCATCTCGTCAGCAAACTCCTTGCTCTCCCCGCCATGTGAGCCGGCTGCTCACCGCCCTTTAGATGGACAAGTCCTTTCAAGCATTCTTAATATATCTAAGATATATTTTTACCAGGATGCGCTGGTGTTCTAAGCCACGGCTGTGACACGTGTTTCCATGAGCCCCACTCACTGCCTCAGAATTATGTGGCTCCACTGAGGGGTTGTCCTTGGCCCACGGCACCACCGAGTGCTGAACAGGGCTCTGTGGCCGCCCCAGCCAAGCCCCGGTGTACTGTGGGCTCATGTGTGCAAGAACATCACATTCCTTCATTTTCTTTAAATCACGTTACGTTTTCAAGCCTTCTACCCTAAAACTGTTTCAAGAGATAGAAAATCTGTATAGACCCAAACCAGAGGTGAACTGAAATAAAGGTCAAGATCTGTGCCTTCTTGGGACACCTGGATGGCTCGGTTGATTAAGCATCTGCCTTTGGCTCAGGTTGTGATCTCAGGGTCCTGGGATAGAGCCCCACGTCGGGCTCTCTGCTCAGGGGGGAACCCGCTTCTCCCTCTCCCTCTGTTCCTCCTCTCCCCTTTTCGCAAACAAAATCTTTAAAAATTAAAAAAAAAAAAACAAAAAACAAAAAACAAAAGCAACCCTCCATCCTGCTCATGACTCTAAAACAATTTTCAGCAAACTAGAAATAGGAATAAAATCAGGTTAAAATCACCCGATGAAGGTGACCTACCAGAAACCTTCGTATCTTGTAGTGAGATGCTTGACGCATCTTGGTTCAAGTCTGTTTTTCCTGCGGGCACGTTGCTCCTGGTGGCAGGTGTCTTCAGGGGAAGCCCCACCCTCCGCTGTGTGATGTTCCGGGTGCGTTCTCCCCTCGTTCACTCCATCCAGGTGGTTTTCCTGTCTGCGCCATCAGAGCAGGGTGCCCCACCCCTGCCAGGGGCACCCAGAGCAGCCCTTCGCTTCAGTGGGGAGACGGGTGGGAAGAAGAGCATTGGTTATTTCTCAAGAATGGCATTCTACCACTTTCATCATCTACTCCAGGGAAGCCCCTGACCAGGGGCACAAACCAGGGCAGTTCACTGTAAGTTTATAAAGGCAAAAACTTGAAAATAATTCACGTGTGCCTGGGTTCTTTATAAGCAGCTAAATAAAATCTAGAAGCCTTTCCCGAACGATTAAGTAGCAGTTAAACTGAATCGGAGTAGACCTGTATTTTTCGACTGAGAAAAATCTTTAAGATACAATGTTGAGGGGTGCCCGGGTGGCTCAGTTGGGTTGGCTCGGTTGGGCAGGTAGGTGCTGGGCACTGAGGCTTCACGCCAGACAGGCAGAAGGGCCCTGCATGTGCCCGCGCACAGACAGCGGCAGCGAGCGCTACATCCGGGCTCCCTAACGCCACTGTCGTCCCACCCCCTCCCTCCCCCCACGTGGCACACGTCCGTCCACATGGCGAACACACAAGGCAGAGCAGGAGCCTGGGCGGGGGCCGTGCCAGGGCCAGGGGTCCAGGCCTGGACGCGGCTGGCGGCTTTCCTTCCGATGTGCCTCCCTCTTGGGCTGCATTCCAACCCCAGGTGCGGCAGTGGGTAGGCTACTGCCCCCAGTTTGACGCCCTGTTCAACCACATGACGGGCCGGGAGACGCTGGTGGTGTACGCCCAGATCCAGGGCATCCCCGAGAGCCACATCGGCGCCTGTGTGGAGCAGATTCTTGACAGCTTACCCACGTATGCGTACGCGGACAAGCTGGTGAAGACTTACAGGTGAGACTTTCCACCTTCACCGATGAGAGGTGCCCTGGCATTCCTCAGTGCAGGCCGCGGCCATCAGCTCTGGGTTTGGGGTCACTGCGCAGTCCACGTGTCACTGTGCGGATTTGCAGGAGGTGGCCCCCTCCTGTGGACGAACGAGTCCGTGGCCTGTGCTGCCCAGAGGCACTGCTTCCGCTCGACCCCGGGCAGGTAGGGGGCTAAGGACAAGCAGGTAGCATCACAGGTGTTATTGTCCTGCGCGTCGCAAAGGGCCTTGGATTTTTGGTAGGCTCGCGTTTCAAGCACACGTTACCTTATCTCGCTGCGTCTGGGGCATCTGAACTGCTGATGTCTGGCTGAGAGGCTGGGGGTCTTCCTCTGTCCTCTGCGCCACTGATAGGAAGGGCCAGTCTCGTTAGCTTACACAGCAGGGCCAGTCCCAGGACTCCCTGGCAGTATCCCACTCCTAGGACCAGGAAGTCAGAGATGCCCAGGCAGCAGGCGATTGCTAACCTTGGCTCTTCCCTCCCTGTTGGCTTTGGTTTCAGGCAGGTTTTTGTACTTCCTCGCATCTTTTCAAGATTAAATAAGTTAACACTTGCAAAGTTTAGAACAGCCCCGCACACACTGTAAATGCTATGTGTTCATTCAAGAAAAGCTAGCTAAAATGGCCCTCTGTCCTTACACCCCCAACACCATAGAGACCCTCAAAGACGACTCAGGGACCACGTTCCCATCCTGGACTGACCCCTGTGTCTGGGGCCATGATCTATACACTGAGTGGACAGTCAAGTCACAATGCAACCTCATAGGAGGGTGGTGGGCATGTTACTAGAGCCCCGCTGAGGAGCTGTGGGACACTTCCTCAACAGAGAACAGAAAGCCTGTTTGTGTGTGTGTGTGTGTGTGTGTGTGTGTGTGTGTGTGTAGGGGGGCTGGGCTATTGCTGATTATTGATTGCCTTTCACCCCAACCTTCCCCCCCCCTGCTCCCAGCGGTGGCAACAAGTGGAAGCTGAGCACAGGCATCGCCCTGCTTGGAGAGCCTTCGGTCATCTTCCTGGACGAGCCATCCACTGGCATGGACCCCGTGGCCCGGCGCCTG